TCGCAATAGCAAAGAGCTGGAAACAACCCAAGTGCCCATCAACAAACGAATGGATAGAGAAGCTCTGGTATATTCACACAATGGAATACTATGCAGCATTGAAAAACAAGGAACTCATGAAATATTATGCAAAATCGATGACCCTGGAAGACACTATTCTGAGTGAAATATCTTAGTCACAAAAGGTCAAATATTGCATAGGGCCATTGTTGTAAAACAGGACTGCTATCAGGGTTGAGGGAAAACAGAAAAGGAGTAAACGAATGATGTATATTGCATTGAAGCAGATGAGGGAGAGAACTGTTTAAAAGGGACATATGAATGGGTATTCTTGTCATTACAGAGGTTCAGAGTGAAGGCTGCACAGTGGAGTGGACTTGGGGGTAGAGATTGCATAACAATGAAAGAGTTTTTCTTTTCAAGGAGAAGAGTGAATGGGGAGGAGGTGATGGGCAGGGAGAAAAGTGCAACAATGAATGACTAGAATCCCTAAGTCTCTATAAACTTTCATTAAAATTAATGAAAGGCTCCAAGGGGAAAAAAAAAATCAACAAAGCAAACAGAAAATTAAAAATCATACCAAAAAAAACCCCAGGAAATTGAAATCCATAAAATTAGAACTAAAATTTTAAAAATAGATAGTATATATAGGGCAGAAGAAAAGTCTACTATGTTCCAATGAGTGGAACAGAATTAGTGAGATTGAAGATAAATTTTCTAATACCAATCTATTAAGAAATAAAGAAGAAAAATATTAAGAACTTCTCCAGGGTTATAAATTATTTGAAGCTATGTGTTTCAGAAACTTAATGAATCTCAAACAGAATATTCCCCAAAAGAAAGCCGCAACCAAGACACATGATAATCAAACTTACTAAAACCAAAGACAAAGAAAGAATACTTAAAACAATTCAGGGGTGGGGGAAGGAGAGGAACATACCTACAAAGGAATAGCAGTAAGATTATGCTCTAATTTCTCAACAGAAAATATGTAAGCAAGAAGCCCGATGGGAAGGCATATATAAAACTGAAAGAAATATGTGGTGTCAAAGATTTATAGTTCATAAGTATTCAGGTCTTTCATCCATAGGGTCACTATAAGTCATGTACAACTCAATGACACTTAACAACAACAATGGCTTCCTTAACCAGTGACTTTGACTTTGCCACATAGATGGGTTGAATCATAAAAATAGTGCAATGTCCTAGTGGTAAGAAACTGCACTGCAATACCAAAGGCAGGCTGTTCGAATCCACCAGCTCCTGTGCAATTAACAGCTTCCGAACACTTACTAAAGGGCCAGCTAGGGGTCAGTTTTGACTTGACTGTACTCAACAACAGTCTATCCACAAGGGGATTGATTAGTCTTACCATTCAAAAAGGAATTCCAGTTGAGTACAGTCAGAAGCAGAAATCTGGGAACGTCAACATCCACAAGGAAGAAGAAGCAGTGTGCCTTTACCTAATCTTGCTAGAGGACTGAGAAAAGATATCATAACTGGCAGCACTAAGGGAGCTTTGAATACTACCTAAGCTGTGAGGCTGAAGGTCAAAGGGCCTGTGATCATGCTTGAGAAGCTGTCTAGACTGAGGGATCTTGCTGCCAACCTGAACTTTCCTGTTAACTTCCCTAATAAACTCCGTAACTCTTAAAACAGCTCTGTGAAGTCTACGTCATCACTGCAATTAATTTTGAACCCAAGAGAGCTGAAAGATTGGTGCTGAAATTAGTAGAAGTAGGTGCAGGAGCATGGGAGACCATGCCTAACCTTATAGGATTTCATTTTGTACTGTGGATTCTACTAACATCGACAGTTTCTCTTTGTGGAGTTAGTAGAAGTCAGGCTCAACCATCCTCCTGATCGATGCCTACACTCCTCTTACAAAAATATTACCAACTAAGAAGAATTATATATTAGCAACACTGCCCCTGAAATATAATGGAAAAATTATGACATTTCAAGATAAACAGAAATTAAGGGAATTGGTGAAAATAAGACCAATCTTACAAGAAGTACTAAAGGAATCCACAATTAGGAGAGGATAACACCAATAAATGGGACCTTCTAACGAGCAAGTCCCTATGTGCATCAAAACCTATTACCAATATGGTGAAAAGAATATCTACAGACTTGGGAAAAACATTTGGCAATGCCATCTCAGACACGGGTCTCCTAACAAAAGTTTACAGAATCCTACAGGGTCTCCACAAGAAAAAGACTGATAACACAATTACAAGAGGGGCAAAAGACATGGAATGACTTTTCACAGAGGAAGACATTCAGATGGCTCACAGACACATGAAGAACAGGCACACTCCTAATCACTGGCAATAAGAGAGATGAAGATCAAAACTACAATAAGATGCCATCTCACTCTAGTAACAGTAGCAAAGTTTAAAAGGACAGCAAAAAATAAATGTAGGAGAGGATGTGGATAAATTGAAACTCTCATATACTGTTTATGGGATTGTAAAATGGTATAACCACTCTGGAAGGTGGTTTGACACTTCCTCAAAAAGCTGAACATAGAGATTGCCTATACCCAGCTATGACACTGCTATGAATATGCCTCAAGGAAAACAGAACTGAGATACAAAGAAAGATTTGTACAGCAGTGTTCATAGCAGCATTAATCACAATAGTAAGAATATGGAAACAGCCCAAATGTCCATCAACAAATGACTGGATTGAGGAACTGTGGTACATTCACACAATGGACTACTATGCAGCACTCAGGAACAATGAATTTGAAAAATACAATATAACATGAGAAAGGCTAGGAAGCATTATGCTAAGTGAACTAACTCAGGTGCATAAGAACAAATACTGTATAAGGCCATTATTGCTCCCCCCACTGACCAAACTATGCAGCTCTGCAACTGCATCCTGGCCCACCCTCACCCTTCTGCCCCCAACCCTCACTTCCTTGTACCCCAAATATGTTTTTCCCAATTAAAAAAATATTTTAAAAAAAAGAAATTAAATGGGTGACATCACAACAGAACTAAATGAAATACAAAGAAAAACAACAGAAAAAAAGAACCATACTCCAACAAGTTTAAAAATTTACAAGAAATGCACACATTTTTAGAAACATATTACTTGAACTAACACAGGCAGAAGTAGAAAGTTAGACTCATCATGAAAGACATAATAGGTCATGCTGATCTCATTAGCATTCAGAGAAAAGCTGATGCCAATTCTACTCAGAGTGAGAGGTGGAGTAGTCCAAAGCACGTTGCACTCACTGCTGACCACAAGTTCAGCAGTTTTAATCCACCAGTAGCTCCACAGGAAAAAGACAAGCAGTCTCCTTCTGTTAAGATTTTCAGCCTCAAAAACCAGATGAATGGTCACTGTGAGTGAGAACTGAATCAATGACAGTGAAAATTGGGGGAGGGTGGGAGACACAGGAGCCAAGGTTACAGAAACTGAACAACCAGAGGGAAATAATGAAAATGTAGACATAACTTGAAAATTGTAACCAACTTATATGTAAGTTGTTAAATGAAACCTAATTTGCTTTATAAACTTTCGCTTAATTTTTTTAAAAACTAAAATAAGATAGTTACAATCATTTTTTTAAAGTAAATTACTGTAAAGTGTTATTTTTTTTTCTTAATAACAAAGAAATGTATTGCTTTGGAATCAGAACTAACTCATAGTTGGCCTTCCAGAGGGTTTTGAGAGACTATAAATTGCATGGGAGATTGCCATTCTTTTTCTCTTGGAGCAGCTAGTGGATTCAAACCCCCTAGTAGGCCACCAGAGCTCCCCTCTTTTTTCATAGTTACCTTTAATATTTCTTTTTATTTTTAAGCTATATATTGTCTTAATCAGAAATAAATTATTTAAGGTAATAATGAAAAGATTCTATTAAATTAGGTACACATAGAATCTTAATGTTCTTAAAGTGTTTGTCTTATTGTTATGTGCTGTACTGTCAAAACAGACTCCTACATGACTGTCCACCGGGTTTTGAGCGGCTTTCAGTCACATGGGGACAACTGCCCATCTTTTTTTGATGGAGTAATAGGTAGATTTCAACAACTTGCCTTTGGTTGGCAGCACAAGTTCTTACCCACTAGGCATCAGAGGTCCCTATTTATGTCCTAGTTGAACTACAAAAGTTCCAAACTACTTGATTCTTCTTCAATTTGTTTTTTGTTGTTGTTATTTTTAACTACTGGATTCTTAAGGTTGTTTATAGTTGAGGTAAAAAAGCTCATTTTGTTAAATGAATATGAAAATAACTTTAACAATTAAATGTTCTACCAGAGTTGCAAATGATAGCCTATAGCTGCACAAATTTTCATGAAACATACATAGGCAAAAGATTCATAAAGTATAAGGGGAAAATATTTCCTTTCCCATAAAAAGAGAATAGATATTGAAAGATAAACAAAAACAAAACTTGACATTGTTGTTGTTGTTGTTGTTATGTGCCGTCAAAAACATTCTATTACTGATCCAGGAAAATTCTGACAATATAACAGTGACTCATCACATACAAAGAGAACTAAGTAACCTTTGTGCTACATGCAAACAAGAGACCTTTGTACAATTGATGGCTCAGACACAGGAAGCCGGCTTCTTAATGTTTCAATAAAAGAAAAACATTGTTAATGATTAAAGTTCATGCTCACCTTGTAAAAACTCCTCCTTGCAACCAGTGAAGTAGAAGAAAGCAAAAGTTACTTTCTTGGCCTGCTTTCTTTACATCAGCCTTGTACCAAGAATAACTAAAACACTGGACCACAAATGTTCCAACAAGCACAAAGCTTATTGTTAAAATAGTAAAAGCATATTGTCCTTCCTGGAAAAATTTGACAGACACCCAGATGTCCACAATCAAATCAAAGATATAGACTGAGAAGCTAAAAAGTGACCAAAAAAAATTTAATTTAGTGTATTTCATTTTTTAATCACTACAGCTCTTAAATGTCTACTTTTTCTCTTACACAAGAAAGGAAGAGAAATGCCAGAACAAATGTTAGTGCAGTCTTTTGTATATGATTAAATTTAAACTTTCAGACTAAGTCTAGTAAGTAAAGAATAAATACTATTAAATTGGAACACTGAAGTCAACTAATTTTCTCTTCTAAGTCTTGAATTCAGGTCCATTGTTAGAAAGTCTATTCAATCTTCTTTTTCACCAGGATCTTCATTCCAATTGCATTGCCTAAAATTAAACAAATGCATATCAATTTCTAAAAATCATAAACATAGTGTTAAAAAAACTCAAGACCATTACTTTATCAAAACCCTTCTTTTTCTAAAAATAATAATAATAATTGTCACTAGAGCTTACACTAATTCTAATAATCTTGAAAATACACTTACTAGGTCACAACTTCCACTCAGAATATGTACTTAATGTGTATTTATTTAAAGCATAACTTATCTACAAAAACATTTATCACCGGACCATTTACAGCACTAGAAAAACTGGAAACAACTTAAATGTGTCAACATGAGAAAATGACAAAGTAAACAATGAAGCAGTCATATAATATTACAATTCTACTAGAGCATATTTAACAGTTTTGGACTACTACTACCAAATGTCTCCAATAAGTTGCAGCAAACAAATTCTGACAGAAAGAGGGAGGGGGGAGAAATGTGGAAATTTCTTAAGAAATCCAGTTTTACTGGATCCCTGAGACTGGCAGTATCTGAAAATGGCTGTCCTGAGATAGTCTTTCAAACTTGAACTGAAACAATTCAATTGATTATGTCTAAGAACTTGAACTCTGAAGTCTTTTACCTGAATAGCAAGTTAGTTACAAATAGAGAAAGTCATCCTTGAAAATTGGACTCTCTTAAAAATTAACTACATGAGACTAAATAAACGACCATTATTAAAGAAAGCTAGGGGCCAGTGAGATGAAGTTGGTGGGAATGAAAAAACTAGAAATGGAGACAATGAGAATGATAATGCAATATGAAGAATGCAACCAACGTGCAGAAATTGTTAGAATGCAGAAAAATGGGGCAGGGAGGTGATGGTACAGATTTGCCATCTATCTCTTGCAGAGCCACTGGTGGGTGAAAACAGGACTGGCAGCGTAATCCCTCTGGGCTGCCAGAAAACCCCTAAAAACCAAAATAAATAAAAACATGATACTGGCAGATATTCCTTACTATTTCCTACTGAAGATGTTTCGTTTGTATCTGAGTCTTGTTCTAGCATCATTGTAAAATGTATAATCCCTTCAGCTTCCCTATCTAAAGGAAAATAAGCATTGCCAACTTAGTGCAAAAATAAATAGCAGGAAGCTATTTATTTGTAATTTTGTACACGAAGCTCTGGTGGCCTAGCAGTAAAATGCTGCACTGCAATCCACAAGGCATGCAGTTTGGATCTACCAGCTGCTTCACAGGAGAAAGAAGGGCAATCTCCTCACATGTAAATAACTGCCTCTGAAAACCCTCCCGAGGGTCAGCTATGGGTCAGTTCTGACTCAATGGTACACAACAACAACAACAATCTTCCCAAATCCTTATAAGAAGAGTATCATTAGCCTCATTTTTCGGATCAGAAACCTGAAGTAAAGAGATCGGTGTTGAATATTTAGCTTGATTATTGTCTAAATATAAGAGCAAGATCTGTTTGCCATCAACAACATAACCAGATGATATCCTATAAAATACCTGGGGAGGAACAGTAAAGATGATTAATAATAGTTTTTATATGACTGTTAAACATAGTAGTCTACAGAGCTGAGAAAAACAATCATGCATTACTTTTTTCCTTAGAAGGATAAACTTGAGAAAGGAATGTAGTCAAAATTACAAATATCAAGCCTTTAGATAATAAGTAAAATTTTTAACTTATTTCCCATTGACTTTTGTCAGAAAATTTTATAATGTAGTAACATGCTCAGAAGAGTAAAACTCTTCTACAATGCAGTACCTGAGCTACAATTCGATTTAAACTGATTTTCACAGATCATAGTACAAAACATTTTCTTTGTCTATTTCTTGATCTTTTTATCCATAAAGAGAGTTTCACTTATCAGACATAGTTAAGGAAAATAGCAACAGCTCTGAGTCAAGTTTTATGAAATGGAAAAATAATTTCTAAGAAAAAAAGAAACTGTTAATGGCTAAACAGCACACTCAAAAAATCTGATACTACATCTTCTATAGCTCATAAGGCATCGCACTGTCATTGCAAAGGTACGCCATTGGAATCCTCCTGCTGTTCTGCGGGAGGATGGGCAATCTCCTCCCATGCCATTTACTGCCTCTGAAAACCCACTGGAGGATCAGCTACTGGCTGGTTCCAACTAGTCGGCACAGAGCAACAACAGAATATTTCTAATTTAGACAGACCAGAAAGACAACTGGAATAAAACCCAATACCAGAAAGTTAATAATAAAGCAGCTCTCATAAAAGGGCCATATAATATATAATATTATATATAATAACCCCATTATGCTATATGTTATGTGAAACATAGTTCATCTTTATCTCTTGGAGCAGGTACTACCTCTGAAGGAATAATGCCAACCACATAATTTGGTGTCATAGGGATTTTTGATACTTACTGAGCAGGTCTGTCTGCCTCAATCAAATTTACTCAGAGGTTCAACTGAACTGTGTGCCAACCTGTCTGTCAACCAAAGTGCACAACCTTTGATAACTTTGCAATCAAAAGCCAGAGAGTTTAAATAAAAGCTAGCAAACTTTCACTAATCTAACAAATTTTAAAAACAGTATAAACTGTAGACTTACTTGTTGAATACAGAAAGACTTCAGTAATTCAAGCTCACTTCTGGAAAATTTTCATTCTCTGAATCTTATATCCTCTTCACTTAAAACACGTATAGTTAAGGATGTGTAATCCTTAGTGCCAGATACTGAAACGAAACTGAAATTACCTTAGTCACATGTGGCATTTTCTAATCCAGTGATAAACAAGGTATGACTGTGACTACAGTGACATCCCTTTTATAACTATCATACTAATGGAAGAACTAGCATGCCTTCTTTTAAAAGTTGACTGTGCTACAAGCTTTCCTGTTATTTATCAGTTAAGTTTTATGGAAATAAAACAATTTGCGTATTGGCATACCCAAGTTAATATTAATCCATGTTTAAGAGACATAAATACTCTGATAGAAAACTTACAAAATAATGCAAAAGCATTTACAAAATGAATTTTACTAAAAGCATTTACATAAGCATTAACTTAAAAATCTGCCCCCTAAAAAACAAAAACAAAATCCCCAAACAACTCATTGACATCAAGTAGTTGCAACCAACTCATAGCTGACTCTCCAGTACACAAGGAAGGAGACTGACCATCTTTCTCACTCAGAGGAACTGGTAGGCTAGAACCGCCTGCCTTTGGGTTGGCAGCACAACTCCCTACCGAACAGGCCAAATTTTAACCTGTACCTTTTTTCAAACTGATGCCTGTACATAGGATCAGCCTCAATTTTCAAATTAAATACATTTCTTCTATTTCCAAGATTTTACTTTAAGTATCTAATAAGATGAATGAGCTTCTAACTCCACCTGATGACATTCTATCAATCCTCTAAGACTATTTTTAAAGCTGTTCAAATCCTCCAAACATGTATGGCTCTAACCTGTCTCTCTGTTCACATAACACTTGCTATACTGTTATTGTTATGTGCCATCGAGTCGCTTGAGACTCGTGTTGTTGTTGTTATGTGCTGTCGAGTCGTTTGCAACTCATAGTGACCCTATGCACAACAGCCCTAAACCCTGCTCTATCCTGTGCCAATCTCATTGCCTCCGACACACCCATCCCGATTACCCCAGTCACTGAATCAATCCACCTCATAGAGGGTCTTCCCCTCCTGCGCTGTCCCTCCACTTTGCCCAGCATGATGTCTCTCTCCAAAGACCTGTCTCTCCTTACAACATGTCCAAAGTATGTCAGGTGAAGCCCCAGAATCCTTGCCTCCAAGGAGCAGCCCGGTTTAACCCTCTCTAGGATGAATCTATTTGTTTTCTTGGCAGTCCATGGTACATTCGGCACTCTTCTCCAGCACCACAGCTGACATATACATATGACATATATGACATGTACAAGAGCCCTAAATGCTGTTCTATCCTGTGCCAACCTTGCTGTCCCAGACACACTCATTCCCACCACTCCACTCACAGAATCGATCCATCTCATCAAGGGTCTTCCTCTCCTGCGCCGTCCGTCCACTCTCCCGAACATGATGTCCCTCTCCAAGGACCAGTCCCTCCTTGCAACATGCCCAAAGTATGTCAGATGATGCTTCAGAATCCTTGACTCCAAGGAGCATTCTGGCTTCACCCTCTCCAGGACAAACCTGTTTGTTCTCCTAGCAGTGCATGATATAGTCAACACTCTTCTCCAGCACCACAGCTCAAAGACATCACTTCTCTATCATCCCTAGTCACTGTCCAGCTCTCCAATGCATAGCCTACAATTGTGAACACCATAACCCAGATCAGGCTTACCTTTATCTCCAGCCTGACGTTATTGCTCTTCAGTACTCTAGAGAGGTCCCTGACTGCTGAATTTCTTGATTTCCTGGCTGCTGGTACCAAGAGTGTTGACTGTGGAGCCAAGCAAACTAAAACTGTTAACTATCTCAATCTCTTCACCATCCATACTGATGATGCCCGTTGGACCAGTGGTGAGAATCTTTGTTTTCTTGATGTTGAGCTTCAATCCATATTGAAGGCTGCAGTCCTTAACCTTCTGCAGCAAGCACTTCAGGTCCTCCTCAGCAAACAGGGTTGTGTAATCTGCATAACGCAGGTTTTTGATGAATCTTCCACCAATCTCGATGCCACATTCCTCCTCATACAGCCCAGAGAACTTCCAGATGTGCAGGCTTGGTTTAGAAGACGCCATGTGTGCTCGCTTCGGCAGCACATATACTAAAAATAGGAACGATACAGAGAAGATTAGCATGGCCCCTGCGCAAGGATGACACACAAATTCGTGAAGCGTTCCATATTTTCGACCCTGAAATGAACCAGTCTGTAACGAAGGCTAACTCCTAACTCCTTTCACCTACAAATTTCGTCTTTGGATACCAAGCTAAGTGGATAGTCCTTACCGAGGGACTGTTAAAAAAAAAAAAAAAAGAAGAAGACGCCATGGTACTAGGGATATTATAGCTAATGTTAGATGGATATTGGCAGAAAGCAGAGAGTACCAGAGGAATGCCTATCTGTGCTTCATTGACTATGCAAAAGGCTTTTGACTGACTGTGTGGATCACAACAAGCTGTGGCTGACTCTGAGAATAATGGGAATCCCAGAACGTTTGATTGTGCTTATGTGAGACCTATACTTGGACCAAGAGGCAGTCGTCAGAACAGAGCAAGGAGACACTGCATGGTTCAAAATTGGGAAGGGCTTCTGCCAGGGATGTATTCTGCCTCCATACTTTTTCATTCAATCTTTGCTATACTTTTCCAAAATTTACCTAAAAGTGCTATTATGTGGGGGCTTTGGTGACCTAGTGGTTAAGAAGCTGTATTGTCAACCCAAACGTGCATGCTTTCAATCCACCAGCTGCTCTGTGGAAGAAAGATGGGAAATCACTTCCTGTGCAATTTACCACCTCTGAAAACCCACTGGAGGGTCTGCTACAAGGAGTTTCTGACTCAACAAAGTACTATTATAGATTAAACTATACCTCTCAAAAATATTATATTGCAAATCCTGTTGTAATTGTAATCTTATTTAGAAGTGGGTTTGATAATGTTAAAGAAACAGCATTAGTATAGCTCTCATAGCAGATTGTCCTTTGGGTATCCAATGCAGTAAACTGCACAAGAGATTACCTTTCTCCTTCAAAGTTGCTGGTGAATTTGAACAGTCAGAGAGGCGTGGCTCTTGGGTTTGCAGTATTACTTCCTTTAAACTAAGCCACTGAAGTTACCCGTTAAATAAATGAAATCTCTTTTGACACATGAAAAACAACAAATAAGCAATTGGAGAACAGACAGAGGAAGAGAGATGTCAAGCCACAAGAAGACTGCTCAGGAGCAGGAGCTCAAAGGACAAGAACCTTCTGCCAAAACCCCTAGGGAGAAAGCTTTCCTCTAGAGCCAGCATGATGAGTTATAATTTCTAGCCTCCTGACCTAAGAACAACTGACTGTAAAAGATTCAATTTGTTCCTTTTCCCCAGAAAGATGATCCAAAAAGAGTGTGTAAATTATTAGAAAATATCTTCAATATTGCATGCAGTCAAAGTACTGCAGAAGAGATTCAAAAACGGCTAAAACAGTACATAGAGAATTGCCAGGTGTTCAGTCTGGATTTAGAAGAGTCCATGACACCAGGGATATCGTTGCTGATGTCAGATGGATCCTGGCTGAAAGTAAAGAATAACAGAAGAATTTCTATTTTTGCTTTATTGACTATGCAAAGGTGTTTCATTGTGTAGATCATAATAAATTATGCCTAACATTGAGAAGAATGAGAATGCTAGAACACTTCATTGTGCTCATGTGAAACCAATACATATAGGCGTGTGTGTGTGTGTGTGTGTGTGTGTGTGTATGTTGTTAAGTGCCATCAAGCTGAGCACTACTCATAGGGACCCTATGTCTTTGCATTGACAGCACAACTCTTTACCACTAGGCCACCAGAGTTTAGAACCTGTTTTTCAGGAATAGATAGAAATATACTGTTTAAAGTGTCTCACATTTTAAGATTATAAGCATTAATAAATGCTGTTTGCAATAATATAGGGTTGCTGCTCCTTGGCGAGTGTTGGGGACAAATGTCTGTGACAAATGCCTATGTCCACAATGTCAACAGGTAGGGAAAGATTCCCAGTGCAGACCAAGTGGACTTAAAGAACCCTATGTGAAAGTCTCTAAAACTGGTTGCTGTTTGGAAAATAGCTATTAATAGTACTTCCTTCTTAATGTACTAATGGTGAAAACTGAAAACACCAAGAGAAACATGAGAAATTGTTTACCATTTACATTTATAGCTTCTGAAAAATCGCTAGAGCTATGTCAGTTTCAACTGGGTAGCAATGAGTTTGGGAATACTTTTTAATAGTTAAAAAGAGATAACGTTTGTAAAAAGCCTTTTAACACACTAGTTAAAATTTAGTAAACATTATTTCCTGCTACTTCTTTTCAGAGCAATGGTGGACTGCGGTAAGGAACTGCTCTGCCAAACCAAAGGCTCATTCATGGTTTGAAGCCACCAATTGCTCCACTAAAGTAAATTGGACAATCTCCTCCAGACTGATTTACTGCTTCTGAAAACCACCTGGAGGGTCTGCTATGAGTCAGTTACAACTTGATGATATTAAACAACAACGTATTTTAAAAATTTCAGAGGCTATTTCACCCCATTCCCTAACTAACCAGCAATCAAAAAGCCTGCAAGACAAGCCCTTCTCGGGATTTAGTCTTCAAGAACAAATTCCTAAGTCTGCCTTCCACCTTGCACATGAATTTTCAGGATAAAAATATCTCCCACCCACTTAAACAAAATAAACAAAAGCTTCGGTGAAGTGATGAGGAATTGGCAGCGCGCGGCCCTGGGAGGTCCTGCCTAGCCTCACGCCGCCTCAAGCCACGCGTCCCGGGATCACAGACCACGCGACAGTTGGCCCCACGCGCCCTCTCCGCCCCGCACCTGCAGACAGTGCCCTCCAGTCACCGCCCACACGGCGTCACGTGACAGCAGGCCCCACGCGCCCCCTCCGCCCCGCGCCTGCAGATAGTGCCCTCCCGTCACCGCCCACGCGGCGTCACGTGACGGCTGCTCCTATCCCCGCCCCCGCGTGCCTGCAGCCTATGCTCTCTCGTCACCGCCCATGAGGTGTCACGTGACAGCTCCTACTATCCCCGCCCTCGCGTGCCTGCAGCCAATGCTCTCTCGTCACCGCCCACGAGGTGTCACGTGACGGCTGGCACCACCCACCCGTGCCGGCGGGACCCATTTTTATTCCCATGGGTTTCGTTTCAGTCTGTCAGCGGGCGTCTCAGACGGCGATGGCTACCTCTCTGCAGCGCATCGAACGGCTCTCCAGTCGGGTGGTGCGCGTGCTGGGCTGTAACCCGGGTTTCATGACCCTGCAGGGTACCAACACCTACCTGGTGGGGACCGGCCCCAGGTAAAGTCCCACCCACCCCGGGTGCGCGGGGCGGGGATTGCGAAGATTGTGCGCCCCAGACCCGGGGAAGCGTGACCACCTGCTCTGGCCCGGGCATCCCCTACTGGGGCCACGCAGAGACCCTCACATTCTGGCGCTCCCTTAAAACGGGACTACCCTGGGTAGTGATCTCTTTCACTTTTTAAGAAATGGCAGCCTACCTACCCTTTAGCAGGGACTCGATTCCGATTCATATCAACCCTATAAAAGAGTGGAGCTGCTCTGTAAGGTTTCCAAAGTTTTAAAGGGTGGCAGACGAGTCCGGGCTGGCGGGTTCGGACAGCGGACCTTAAGATTCATCACTTAGCTGTTGCGCCACACCGGGCTCCTGCACATTGCTAATGAGGGCAAAATAAAGCAAACTGAAGAGGACTAAAACGACTGCATCATTTCCTGTTCCTAAAACCGTATTTATTCTGCTCAGTGAGTGCAAGTGTGGGCGCCCATAAACTGTTGTAGAAGACAGGTTCTCCTGGTGTTGGCATCCAAAAGAGGGTTTGCTTTACTCAGGTCATGGGTGAGTGGTGTCTTGCCCAGAGTAAAACTTCACAGGATTAATTGTGCTGTGGCAATTTTCTTAACTCAGCAGCAGAGGGCAGGATTTTCTTAAAGCTGGCTTGAATTTGTCCTTCACCCTACTAAGTTTGAGTTTTGTTAGTATGTGTGGAATTCGGGTATTCTGTGCTTAACCTTTAGTGTGATTCAGCTCAACTCAACACATTGCTTTTCAGTCAGAATCAGCTCGCAGCTGACCTTCCAGCCGGTTTACAGAGGCTATAAATCATTCCAGAGAATAGTCCTAATCCTATGTCAGAGTAGCTAGTGGATTTGAACTGCTTACATTTGGATTAGCAGCACAAGCCTTACCCACCAGACCACCAGAATTCCCTTTAGAATGTGTGTATGTAAAAATAAATAGATACAACACATACTATATATCCACAAAACTCAAATTCGTTGCCATTAACTGAAACCAGCTCATAGCTGACTCTCAAGTGGGTTTTTCAGGCTGTAAATAGCCTGGAAGCATATTGCCTCTGTTTCTACTCCCAGTAGGGTAGTACCCCCAGCAGGGACTACTGGTGGATTTAAATAGCCTGGGAGGTGCCACCTTTAGGTTGCTATGAAGTCACCAGACCTAACTGTTAGATACTCTCACAGCTGACCCTCCAACAGGTTTCCCTGAAACACTAATTCCCACAGAAGGTGATGACTGCTCTTTCCTCCCTCAGAGCAGACAGTAAGTTAGATCCGCCTGCGTTTGTCTTTTGGCAGTGTAACTCCTTACCCACAAGACCACCAGAGATCCTTCTTAACTGACTGTTGTTGTTGTTGGGCACTGGCAAGTCAAGTACAACTTTTAGACGCTATGAAAAACAGACCCGAAGCCTACCCTATCCTATGCCATCTTTATCAGCTCTGACACACTTAAGCCTATTGCAGTAGTCACTGTGTCAATCTTTTTTTATTGTCTTCTATTTCACTGACCCTCCATCTTTCCAAGCTTGATGTTCCTTCCCAAGGAATAGACTTTCCTAGCAACATGTCCAAAATAGGAGAAATGGATCTCTGCCATCTTTGCCTCTAAGGAGTACTCAGGCTGCAACTAAGACATACCTGTTTGTTCTTTTAGCAGACCGTGGTATACTCAGTACTCTTCTCCAACACCACAGCTCAAAGACATTGATTCTTCTGTCATCCTTATTCATTGTTCAGCTCTCAGCAGCACACAGTGATTGAAAAGACTGCAATCTGAATCAGGCACACTTTAGTCTTCAAGATGACATCTTTGCCCTTAATTATTTTGGATAGGTTCCTCACAACAGACTTTCCCAATGTAATATGTCTTCTAATCTCCTGATCTGAATCAGGCACACTTATGACATCTTTGCCCTTAATTATTTTGGATAGGTTCCTCACAACAGATTTTCCCAATGTAATATGTCTTCTAATCTCCTGACTGCTGGTGCCAAGGGTGTTGATTAGAGATCCAAGAATGATTAAATCATACGCTTTCTCAATCCATCAAGATGTTATCTGTGAGGACCTTTGTTTTTTCTTCTTGAGGTGTGATCCATACCAGAGGCTTCAGTTCTTGATCTTCTAGAGCAAGTATTTTTTTTCCTACTCACTTTGAACAAATATGGTTATATTATCTCAGTAATGCAGATTATTGATGAGTCTTTTTCTGATTCTGATTCCACATTCCTCTTAATAAAATCCAGCTTCACCAATTATTTGCCAAGCATACAGATTGAATAGATGTGGAGAAAGGATATATCTATGACGTATACCCTCCCCTTGAACTCAAAGCCTAGATTGTAGTTGTTGTGTGCCTTCAAGTCAGAACCAACTCATATCTGACCCTCCAGCAGATTTTCAGAGGCATTAATTTTGGGATTGCAGCACAGCTTCTTACCCACCAGGCCACCAGAGCTCCCTCCCCTAGACAGTTTAAAAAAAAAAAAACAACCCAGGTCATTCATTCTGACTCATGACAACCCTCATGTGCTATTGAGTGCAACTGCTCTATAGAATTTTCTTGCCTGTAGTTTTTATGAAAGCAGATCACCAGGCTTTTCTTCCACGGTGCTGCTGAATGTGTTTGCATCAACCTTTAAGTTAGTTAGTATACGAAAGCAAAACATTTGTGCCACCCACAGGACCCTAGCTTATATGGTGCAAAATAAAAATAACATTTGCTCTAAAGCATAGAATTTAATTGTAAAGTTAAGTTACAGTTAGTAAATCCTGTTGATTGCTACATACATTTTAAGTATGTTGTTCAGCACCTTAAGTTGAAACATACTCATAGCTGACCCTCCAGAGGCTTTTCAGAGGCAATAAATTATGCAGGAGGAGATTGCCCATCTTTCTCCTGCAGCATAGCTGGTGGATTCCAACCTCATACCTTTGGGTTGGCATCATAACTTCTTACCACTGCCGTGTTTGTTTCTAGTATTTGCCTTATTTCTGGTAAATCCAAATCTTAGTAACAACAGGTTGAGAAGCACTGCCCATCAGGTATGCAAACAGTTATGTCCAGAGTAATTAATTCAAGGAGGTGGAGCATTTGACTGCAGAGTAATTAAGTCATGACCCAAAAAGTACAAGAACTTCAAGTATTGTATCTAGGAGAATAGAGAATTTGGGGGGGGAAAATGCTTTTGGGGACCTTCTGCACCCTACTCTCCCTTAAATAAACCACATGCATTCTCTTTTCACTGTGTCATCTTGAGCTAATTCCAAGACCAAAATCAAAAGTGAAAATTGCATTTCATCAAAATTACTTTTAAAAATCTCTTAGTTGAACATCCTTGGAAATCACTGAACTGTCTCAAGTTCAAATTGGCATGCTTTTCTTCTAACATTTAAACAGATTCCTGGTTCTGTTTGAAATCCAGACAAAGAAATTGACTTTTATTTAGGCTCTGTGTTGTATGAGAAATACTTAATTCCGTAAACACAAGAATGACACCCAGCATGGCAAAGTGCTTGTGCAGACATAAAAGACAAACTGAAGGGAGACCAGATTCGTGGTCACTTGTCTTGCCCTTCTTTTTCTGGCTCTGTAGAGCTGAGTTAGAATACAGTAATGTGTAGATGATGCCTAATTCAAACTTTGTTGTTAAGTTGGATCTAACTCATAGCTGACTTCACAGAACATACCAGAAATTACAACACCCGCCACCATCGAATTGATCCCAACTCATAGCCACCCTGTGGTTGGGTGCCGTCAACTCAGCTACAATTCAGCAACCTTATGCACATCAGATCTTAACCATGTCCTGTCCTGCACCATCCTCGTGTTTTCTAATAGGCTCTGAGCCCTATGTTATAGTCACTGTCAGTCTGTCTTGTTGAGGGTCTTCACCTCTTTCTCTGATGCTCTACCTTTCTAACATCTGACAACATGCCCAAAGTAGGTGAGTGACCCTGGAGGACAGGGAAGCAAGCTGCCTCATCTTTTTCCCGAACAGATTTGCTAGCATATTTGAATCACCAGCTTTGGCTCCTAACCCACAGCACCACTAGGCTTTACCGCTTCCATATCACTAAACCCAATGGTTTTGGTTTTTTGTGTTTTTTGTTTTGTTTTGTTTTTTAATTTTTTTTTTTTTGGTTAACAAATAATCCTTTATTGAAATGTTTTCATCTGTAGTTCCTTAGCTAGCTGGGCATTCCACAGCACCACTGTTGATGTCTTCTGTGATGTCATGAGGGTGACGGCCATCAACATTGCAGCCCACAGATTGGGCAGTTCCCAGGATCTCTTTAATAGTTCCAGAGAGTTCTCTGGCTAAAGACCGGTACCGCATCTGCCGGGCAATGCCAACAATCTCATCAAAAGTGATATTTCCACTGTGCTTAACTGCAGAAAAAGAACAAAAGTGTCAAAACCCAAGTTCAGAGCAGCACAGATAACGATGTCATCTTTCTAGGTTGTTCCCATGCTTTCGGCACAGAGTCATCCACATTAAGAACAACCCTGTTTCCTAAGCTGGGGTTCACTATCAGCATGTGTTTTTTTTTTTTAATTTCTCTCCTAAACTTCAACATTTCACCTTGTTCCTCACTTCCTCCTTAACTTGGTTAGAGTTATCTTGACCGATCTGAATTTGAGTCATCCAGCACTCAATCCTTATATCCTGTCGTGCTATATTTTCTACCTGAATAGTAGCTGTCTACTGCCTTGAGTTCGTTCATCTGTTATTTATTCATTGATAACTCCTGTATCTCACTTGAGTTTTCAATTCAGATAACTAAATGCTTATTTAAATTTTTACTTGAAAGAGAAAAAAAAATCTCTTCTTCTATGACTTACAGCCGCTTTTAGCTCATTGTTTTTTAACATGCACTCATGCTTTCCTGCTAACCTCAGTCCTCCTGCAGTCCATATTTTGGTAAACAGAGAAGTCAGTACATAAGATCAAGGGAAATGCCTCCCTGAACTTTTCTGC